GTGTGTGTGTGTGTGTGTGTGTGTGTGTGTGTGTGTGTGTGTGTGTGTGTGTGTGTGTGTGTGTGTGTGTATGTTAATTATGTTATAAAGGCCTTATGTTGTCTGGATGCTGACTTGTGATACCAGGCTGGCATTGTAAAAACTTCTGACTGTTCTTCATTCACCTCCATGGCACTCAGACTCAACATTTGCCACATGAACAGATTTGCAGGAGGCCAAGTTGGGGTAACTGACATAAAAGTGGCAAAACATGATGCATGCATTCAGCAGGAGGGGTCACTAATTAGGTTGGGTACATTATAGCCTTTTTGGTATGATTCTGGGCTGCCCTAGATGACTTGCAGGATGATCATGTTAAAAACTTGGGGAAATAGTTTGTTTTCACTGCTGTCACATCAGGTATTTTCACTGAAAGCTTTGATCGCTAAAGTCAGCCTGTCCTTGATTTCTGGTATTGCTGCAACTCAAGTTAATATATAAATAAATAAATGATAAAGAAATCCATAAGTTCCGGTGATGATTCATAATCCACTGGCTAGTATATAATATAATCTGCTGACATTATTCTTCCCACTTTCAACTGAAACATGCAGTCCTAGAAGGTCACTAAGTATTCAGAGCTCATTGGACAAAGGCAAACCAAATAATTTTTTCTTCAAAGGGCTTTTTCAAAACCCCTCTTGCACTAAGGACTGTTAATGCTGTTAGTAAGCAGTGGGTTAGGATATTTAAACAGTGTCCTTGAGAGTCACCAAAGCACAGAATAAGGGAATGTTTTTTGTAAAGCTCTACAGACTTGGAGAACTTCTAACAAAGACAAATAATGCAGCTTGTGAATGCAACAACTGAAAAGAGATTTTATATGAAACTTGTTGATCTGTGTATCCAGATATGCAAATGAAACGACGGGCATGCGCGTTCTTGGAATTTTTAAGGCTGGGCAAACTGATTTTATACAGAATTAAATGAACACAATGGCGTCAACACATCATTACTCACAGTCTCTCCAGCTCCTTCAGGTCCTGGAAGGCTCCTCTCTCGATTGTGGTGATTTTGTTCTCCATTAACTGCCTGAGAGAGAAACACCAAGAGAGTGTGAGACTATGTGAATTGGACAATAAAAAAAGGAACGACATGAGAGGGGGGAAGGAGAGTGATAGAGAGACACAGAGCGTGAGAGCTGACAGAGTGATTTGTGTGATGAAACCATAAGAGGCCAAAAAAAAAAGGAGAAAGATGGCTGGATGGGGCCAGCGATAAGAGAGAGAAGAGAAAGACGGAGTGAGATAGGGCACAGGAGATTGACACTGGAGAGGAGAGAGAGGGAGAAATAGAGAAGGATCAGGCAGCACTGGGTGTGAAAAAAGGAGAAAAGCAGATTGGTGGAGATGGAAAGTGATAGAAGGTTTAAAAAAAGCAAGAAAGAGGAGAGACAATCAGCAGCGGGTCGATAGAGTCCCAGAATTGACTTTAAAACTGGCCCATCAGTTGGACAGGGACTCATCTATCATCCAATTTACTCTCTATCTAACCGCATAGCTCTGACTACTCCTTCACTTACACCAGCACAACTTCACTAAGATTAGTGTGCTGACGAAACCAAGCAAAAACACACATGCTTTTATGGGCCATCTCCACTGAGCTCTTCTTTTTTTAATTAATTGATTTATCACTGAGTCAACACTATTTTTTAATACAGCCCCATAAGACAAAAAAAAGGGGGAGGGGAGCGACTTTTATTTTTAAAGACTCTTCTCACAAATTTCTCAAATTTAAAAAAAAAGTCTATTCTCACGGGTTTTTTTTTAAGTGCAGTGTTTTTGCTAATTATGGTGCTTTTGGGTGAACATACCGGAAATAGCTAAAGTGAAAACTAGAGCACACAAATAAAGACACACATACACACAATTAAGGACATAATCTCTGGAGGAATTCCAACTATGTCTATTCCCTTCCATTCATTTCGGCTGCTGAATAGCGCGCACAGCAGCTATCCCTGTCCCGGCAGTGACGGTGCAGGGGAACTCTTTAATCTGGATTCATCCCAGGTAAAGAAACCTGTTCTTACTTGACTCTCTCCCCCTTCTCTTCCTTTCCTTCCACCCTTCCCTCCCTTCCAGCAGCTACATTCCTCCCTCCGCGGTTACACCTAATGACCGCTATCTCTTTCCTCTTTTTTACCCTCCATCACTTCCTCGCCAGCGCGTTAATCACTCCAGCACATGGGCCCCGGGGCCCGGTGGTTAAAATAAGCCCCCTCCTGACACTTCCACTGGCAGATTAACACGACAGCATTAACAGGTGCCGCTGCTATTCTGTTTAGACACTTATGATGGCTCAGTGAAACCGCAGCTTCCCACCACTGGATGCAGTGCCTGCGTGCAGCAGCTCCAGAGCTGGATGAATCTGCTGCTGCTGCCGAGCACGGCCAGAAACTGTTAAATCTCTGTGCTGTGATGTTCTATTGGAAAGTTTTCTGGATATGCAAGGTCTTGCTTAACAGCGCATGTGGGAGAGAATATTGTTGTTTTCCTTTTTGCATCTTCAGGGGAGGGGATAAAGAGGGGATAAAATAAAATTCGCCGAATAAACGTCACTTACAACACTCGCAGATGCCTCAGCCCTGCGAAATCCGTCTTCGTGATTTTAGTGAGGTTGTTTGCATTCAGGTCCCTAGAAAGAAAAATGATATTTTAAAAAATTAATTTAAAAAAATATAAATTAATACATGTTTGTGATGTGCTCATTGATGAAGGAGGCTTTTGCTGAAACTTCTTGTTCCGTAGCCAACGCAGGGTTGTCATCTGACTGTCAGAGAAACTGAGAGGAGCTGTGGCTGCTGCACTACATCGGCAAGTGTTAATTTCATCGAGGGGTCTTTTAATGATAAAATTCGGCCTCTTTAACTCGGAGCCCACTTGTCCAAATCCGTTTTTGATTAACTCGCTGGTCTGCTGACAAACCGATGTGGTCTACGGAGGCTGTGCTAATGCAACAGTTCAAAACCGCCAACAACCACAGCAGCCCCCCAACTTCAGCTCCGCGATCAGCCCTGACGTGTCCTCGTATTAGGCACCAAAACGAGCTTTACTGTTTTTATCATTTATACCTCACGCCAACATTTACATCAGCTGCGTACTGCGGCGTTAACAAGGCTGAAAGTATAGGTTAGACATGACAAAAAGCTCTGCGCTGTTAAAGATGTGGTCCTCGAGAGAGACATTTTCAGTGCCTCCCGGTTAAAAACAAATTAATTAGACAGGAAATTTTGGAGGAATAATGTGTGATCATAATTAGGATATGAGCTGATGACATTTCCTAACCACTGATCGGAATAAAATTTGGGTGCTAAAACATCAGAAGGTGTGACATTTTTTTCTCCATAAACTCTTTAAACTCCTCACACCCCTTCAGAAGAATCGCCGCATTAAAATGTAAATGCAGTCTCGTTATTTTTCATCATTTAAGCATAAAAGAAATGGCAACACGACATTATGGTGACTTTTCTTATACAATGTTTCCAAATTTTAGGTCAAATCTATACAATCCCGTACTTACAGTCTCTCCGTGTTTCGAGGTATGTTTCTGGGCACATTGCGCAGTCCTTGTCCGTGACAGTCCACTGTCGTACCGGTGCAGGAGCACTGGGCCGGGCATGGCTGACCGTCTGCTCCGCTGGACAGGACCAGAACAGTCACCAGCAGCCCCAGCACAGTCACCGGGGAGCGGTGAGGGCCAACGGGGCACCGAGCTCCCACCATCACTGCGGCAAGTGGGGGCCAATATGAGACCCGCAAAAACACCGTGAAAACAGAAGGGCGTTAAAAGATAAAGCCCCGAAATCCCCCGAAGGAGCTCACCAAACTCTGCACGCAACGGGATGCCGTCCTCCTTTTCGCTGTCCTCCCTTAGCACACGCGTGTTTCAGAAATGCCTGGTTCTGAATTTACATTTGGGTCCTCTGAGAGGGGTTTCAGTGCGTGAGGACTGTGATCAGGGACTTGGGTCCCCCTGGGTAGAAATAGGGGAGCTCGATAAGGCGGTAGAGCGGCTCTTTGGCTGCGCTACAGCGGCGCAAACTTCCACATGTCCCCGGCATGCGGTGCCCAAATCCCCCCGGTGAGTGCCGTGTCTGTGTATGTAAATGTGTGCCCGCGGAGCAAAGACAGTGAAACACCTCGGTCCTTGATCTGATCCGATCCAAAGAAACCCTCTCTCATGTACACACACACACACACACACACACACACACACACACACACACACACACACACACACACACACACACACACACACACAC